AATTGTACAGAATGTCAAATTTTCTAGATATATGTATAATGTATATATAATATATATTATAATATACAACAGAGCAAGGCAATAACAATTGCCACATTGAATATCTTCGAATTATAAGAGTGAGGGAAAAATTTTTCTAACAAAAATTACCGATCGATATCGCTTCGAGAACAGCATCTATAGATGTAAACCTCTTTCATCTTTATTTAATTGTTAATAAAATATTTTTATTTTTCCGAGATATTCAAGATGATAATAATTGCCTCTCACCTTTGTATATCCCCGGAAATAATTTATCAGATATAATTATATACAGGACATATATTCATGAATAAAAGTATATAATTATAAATGATTAAATATAATTGTGTATATATCAATATATATTTATATCATAATCATATATAACTCACTCTCTCTCTTTCTCTCTCTCTCTCTGTATCACCACGTCACATATTTAGATATAATTATATATATAATTACATATAATTATATCTAAATATATATATATGGAAAAATTCCCCGGGGTATTCTGCATGTGTGTGTCTATAAATATATAAAATCACTACGATTATATAATGATTACGTATAATTTGTACTATAATCAGACACATTTGCTATACTAAAATTAGTCATATTAAACGGACAAAAGCGTTGTTTTTGCCGTCCGAGACGATTCGGCGCGAGAGTTACGTGACCAATCGGGAGGATCCGTCGCGCATTTTCTCACGCGAGAGAAGAATCGTGAGATTAGCTCAGCTGGTAGTTTCGAGCCCGCAGAGGCACCTTTCAACGGATCACGGATCGGACGGGGGAGAAACTTGGTGAGGAAAGCACACACACCACACTTGTATATGTCAGTACGTAAGTAAACAATATATTTATTGTTATCATTATTACTAAGGCACTTGTTATCGATATAAAAACGTACGTCGCAAAAATTACTGCCAATGAGCATATTTAAATACTGATATTAAACACCTAATTGCTTCTCCTGGTGATATAATCTCAAGTATTATGGACGCGAACGCGCAGCCTAAGTGGGGAGTCTCAATCTAAAACGAACTTCATCATCGTCGTCTCATCGTCGTCATCGTCCTCCCTACGCGCTCGATCGACGTAGGCGACGAGGATCATTATTATCGTTATAGTATCATTATTGTAACATTAATTGTTATCATGATTGAAGGCCTAATCTCAACGAGGTCCTTCGTGAAGGCACTTCCTTTTATTTTCCCTTTTCTGTTTCTCCTGTGTGTGTGTGTTTTTTTTTCTACGAATGAGCCCGAAAAACCGTGGCGATGCATCGTTTCCCCCCCTCCCCCCCTTCCCCCCGTAAACGTAACTTTAGACTGAGTTTAGACTAAAAGCAAGAGATACAGTACGGTAAACATTAATATTATCGTTAAGTTGCAATTAAAAATAATACATTAGAGACGCATTGACGCGCGTTTCGTCAATGACGCACCAGCCCTGGAAGGCGGCCCGACGCGACCCCGCCGTTGTTGTCGGTCCTCGTCGACGGCGAGGACGAGGCGCGCATTCGCAGGAACGCCGAGACGTCGATCGTCGTCGGCGTCGACGAGATCAGCGGTGAACGGGACGTGCGCGCGTGAGACCACGGGGACGAACACGACGACGGCTCCGAAAACTCCGGACGAACGTGGGGCAAATAAAAGAACGACGGGATCGGCGGGACGAAATAAAAATGTCGAGAATAAAAGGAGGCGGAAGAAAGTAAAACGCGAGGCGCGTGCCTCCGATATATCTGATGTAAAACGCACTTGTAAAAAAACGTCTTTTAAATATAGTCAGATGATCCCAAAATGCGCGCGACGTGTCGACGATCCGCCGTGTGTTTTGCGTAAAACAAGAAAAGCAGGAGGGCGAGGGAGGGTGCAGATCGCGAGAATCCGGTGTGTTCGGGACGCGAGAGGACGCGCGCACGCGCGACGTTACCCCTCGCCTTCCAGGGGTGGTGGGGTCTCTCTCTGTGTGTGTCTCTCTCTCTCTTCTTCTCAGCGCTAAAGAATACAGACAGGCGACACAAAATATCAAATCAACCTTTTACACGATCGCTTCCTTCTTACTATCTTATAGTAGAAAAAAAGAAAAAGAAAGAAAAGAACAAAGAGGTCGACGGTTCGGCATTCGCACACGCGTCCGCACGCGCGACCGGTTGGAGAAAGAAAAGGAGAGAAAAAAAAAATGGAAAACGAGAACGCGCGGCGGCGGCGGTGTGCGAATAACGGAACGAACTTAAGCTTCGCCCTCGTCGCTCCTCCCTCGTCCTTTCCCGGTTGCGGGGAAAAGCGGGAGAGCTTACCGACATTTTTACCCACTAAAGAAGACTTCCCACGCGATGATTAGATCGCCGTAATTCTTAATTAACATACGAAGCCGGGGAAATTCGCGCGACCGTTTCCGCGAGAGTGACACCTCTCTCTCTCTCTCTCTCTCTCTCATTTGGGTCCCGTTATTCCGAGAAATTGCATCGGTATCTTCGTACCAGGACGTTACTTCAACGTTACTTCGAGTTTTATTCCTTACATTTATCTCTCTCGATCGTTACCACACATCGGAGACATTTTTGTGTGTTGCATTTGCTGAACGTATGCTGAATGTTGCACGCACCGATGTTTGAATATTTGATAAATTTTAATATTTGACGAGTACGTTGAATTTATATTTGTTTATATATGCTGAATTTATGTGTCGAAAATGTGCTGAAATCATATGCCGAATGTTGCGTATGTAAATATCGGAATGTTTGCCGAATTTCTATATTTGCGCACGTTGACGAATTTATGCCCGTATACGCTGAATGTTTGAATAATTGCTGAACTTTTACGTCTGCACATGGCGAATTTACGCTTGCAAATGCTGAATTTATACGTTATATAAATAGTTTACAATGATAATAATGTATCCCGATGCTCTTGTAATCGTTGAAATTTGCGTCGACGGAGAGGAGGCGCGCTTCGGAAACGGCGGCGCGAAAGTCCGCGCCTTACGGTACGCTCTAAGAGCTGCCAACGTACAACTAATTACACGTTACAATATTGCGCGCGTTACAATTATCATATCGCTTCTTCGTCCCGAAAAAAAAAACCGATTCCCCGGTGCCGCTGGCGCACCACCGTACACACGGCAGGTCCGCGGACGCGCAGGGCGTAAAACGAAAAAATCTCGACATTAGCGGCCGCTTGAACGTCTCGTCGATCCCGGTCGACCCCGTATTCAACAGGGACGGGACGACGCACGGAGAAACACTTAAGGCTAAAAGATAGTAGTTAGGTGAACCTGCGAAATATCATATAACTTTCTTCCTCGCTCTTTAACGCTCTCTCTCTCTCTCTCTCTCTCTCTCTCTCTCTCTTTCTCTCTCTCTCTCTCTCTCTCCCTCGCAATCTCCGTTAACATTTAACTGCACGATAGAGTAGTATAAAACGTAAGAGAAGTTTACAATCTAACAAGGTTTCCTCGAAAAATACGAATAACTGCAAAATCGTAACAAGTATATATAGACTTTACATATATAAAAAAAATATATATATATATTTTCATTTTGCGTTTTCACCGCACCGCGTTGGACGTAACCGATGATCTCGGATACTCCCCTCCCCCCCTCCCCGCCCCTATTTGGGCGGGGAAGATGCGTGCGTGCGTGCAAAAACACACGTTTCGCCTACCTTTAATAATTATTACCACATGTGTGTTCACACGAACGATTTGTATGGACGGTTATTGCTTTGAAAGACGTCGACGACGACCGGGGTGTGGCCGGACGTCTCGCGTTTTTAGGATCGATCGTTTCTTTTTTTTTTTTTTCCAAGAAAAGGCACTTCTCTCGTCTCAAGCTCAAAGCTGAATCGCTTGTGATAGAATAACAGCCGCGGGCACGCGCGCGATCATCATCATCATCAGTGAAGACGTTCGTCGGCGCGGATACGACGCGTGCAATACAGTTCGACATCCCGAGACTCATCATTCCCGCATCATCCGCGCGTTTCTTCAAGTTCTCGATAACACACGACCCACGGAAGTGTCCTCGATCGCTTGTCCGCCCGGCAACACGATTTTCATCACGCGGTTATCGCGTCACGTCGCCGACGAAGGCTCCTGCTACTCACGTTCCTGAGGCCGTCTCCGCTTATCTCTCAGTCTCTCTTCTCACACATACATACATACACACACTTTCGCACACGTCCACGACCGATTGCACTAGTGACGTTACTTCGCTTCGTCCAAGAAACAAACACGTCATAGTGCCACGTAGCAACGGCCTTCGTTCTTGATGAGAGAATGATTCGGCCACGAGTGTGAAGCCGCGTCGGATCGAGTCGGTTCATCTGTTTTCGGCTATGTTCGCATATTCACCGCCGGCACTGATAATCCATAGGCTCGCTCGTTTCAGACTGAACTAGTGCTGCTGGAACTGGAACTTCGTTTCTCTTCTCTTCCGCGCGCTGAGTTAAAACACTTGTTCCGCTATAAAGGCAAAGATTGCAAATCCGGTTCGGCTGAAACGCACAAGCCTTATGATACACGTGACACACGAACTGCAGATTCTCGTCATTGGCGGCGGCAATGTACGGATACAGTCGTGGTCGCGTTTGAATGACGATCGGTCGCGATGCCGCGCCGTTTGTTGTCGTTAAAGTAACCTTCCTCCCCGAGGAGAACGTCCATTCAGTCGTTCTCCTCCCCCTCCTCCCTTCCTCACCCTCTCTTTCTCTCGTTTCCTCACGCGCGCGTTTCGGCGGACCGGCGGATTAGAAACTTATATACAAAATATTCGGGACACTCGCATCGGGCACGCGCGCGCACACAAACGCGTAAAATCGCGCCCGGCGAGAGAGACAGAGAGGGGGGAGGGGAG